TGCCATTCATTAAAGCCATTTAACTGTTCAGATTGTAGGTGTGTGCATTTTGCCCTGCCCCTCTCTCTTGCCCTCTTGCGCTCTCTCGCTCTCTAGCTGTGTGTCTGTCTAGCAATTTGTTTGCTGTCATGTCAAAGTGCAATGAAAATATTTTCACTTGCCCATCAAACGGTGCACACACAGCACTTGACATGAGACAGCAACGTCAAACATTCCGCAATGCCACCCAAAAGGCATCTTCATAAATTTGATGCTGCAGCACCAGCAGCAGCAGCAGCAGCAACGGCAACTGTGGCAGCCACAACACTCCCACATGCCCAACAATCGTGTGCAGTCTGTCTGCTCCTTGAGGCTGGCTCGTCTTGTGGGTCGATCAAAATGTTTGTGGCGTCTTTTTCATCATCATCATTAAATTCGTCAAGATGCAAATTTTTGCTGTTTCTTTTTTTCAGGCTGTTTGCTTTGTTGTTGTCGCGGCAGCTGCTGCGGCTGCTGCTGTTGGTTGGCAGTCGTGCGCATCTTCCAGGAAAGCGCACAGATTGATACCAGCCTGCCGACAGTCGGTTTGCAGCTTGAGCACAATTTATTGCCACGGCCCGGCTGTTAGGGCCAGCTGTGGGCGTCCGCATGCCTTATGCACACAGTGGTTTGCCCATTTAGTTCTATTGACTATATGAGCACTCATATAACTCATGCTAAAACAAACTACATAAATTGCTCGTGACTGCAATTAGACAATTGTCGGCTGTCGTCAAACTCAGCCATGGATCAGTAGCTAATGAATTTTTATTTGTACTCGTGTATGTCTTACAAGACAACAGCAGAGCAGCAGCAGCACCAGCAGCAGCAGCCAACAGAGTCTTTATTGTGTTGGTGTTGTGGGCATTGGCTGGCTGACTGGCTGGCTGGCTGGCTGACTGGCTGGCTGGCTGGCTTAGCTGCTTGTATAAATTACCATAATAACAAATTACGGATCATTAAGATTGTCAGCTACTTCGTTTCAATTAATTAACCATTAATTACACAGCGCCTGAATGGCAGAATGTGGCAACAGTGCCTGCCAACGACAACTGCTGTGCATGAGCCTACAGTAAAAGCCCAGAGCCCAGCAACAAAGAGACAGCAGGCAACCACTGCCAGGCGGCCATATAAGCTACACTGACGACGACGACGACGACGACGACAAGAAGCCGAAATTAATGCAATAGAAGACAACAACAGCAACTACAACAATTGCAACAGCAAGTGAAGAAAAGCACAAAAAAAGCAGCTGTGCACAAAAATGCAAATTTTTACAGAGTATAACAACAACAACATCAGCGACAGCTACAAATATGCTAAGAGACTTCACTTTCAATATATAGCAAAGGATGCTATTTGTTGTTGTTGTTGTTGTTGCTGTTGTTGCTGTTTGTCGCGTTTGCCAGTTGCACAAATTGCATTTTACCATATAAAACACAATTTCAGCAGAAGACAAAGGCAAACAAAACACAACAAAAACTAAAACAATACAACAAGAAAACAGATGCATATGGGACAGTGGCAGACAAAGCACCTCCGCTAAAAATGCGACAAAAGCCCAAAAAACTGCTTTAAAAAGAAAAAGAAGCCAAACTGAAAGTGAAACTCAAGAGAACCGAAATGGAAACTAGAAATTTGCATAGAAATCAATTTGCAAGAGATGTTACGCCAAGAGCTACTTAAGAGTAAATTCAAGTCAAGCTGATCAAGCATAGCAAATGCTTTTTCATAATCAGCCAAGTGGAGCCATGGAAAATCCATGCATTGGAGGCAATTTAAACAAAGTAAATACATACAAATGCAAATAAAACTAGTGAAGCTTAAGTTAAATTCAACATTGATTAAAATTATTTCATATACTAAGTTCTTCCTTCTACTTAAGCCAAGACTTAACAATCTCGGTTTTAATCTACATTAGTTTTCTAATTATATAATACTTGAATTTGCTTATCATACATGTCTATTAATATATATCTAACTACAATAGTCAGTGCTGTGCTGTGCTGACATGCCTTTATGACATGCCGATGAGTTGTCGAGCAAGTTCGTTGCCTAAGTCTTTCGTATTACATGCGCAGGGCATGCAAATATTTGCATATCTATTTATGTATATTTAGTACTTGAGCAGCTGAGCGGCTACACACCCACAGGCGGCTGGCTTGGCAACAAGGCGGCCGTAAACGAGGCCTCCTTGTAGCCCCGACTCCAAACTCTAAATATATTACACTCTAATGTCTTTTAAACCGAAACTATAAATTTCTTATCGCACATCGAAAATCATGCCAAAACCGAATGCGGCCGGCGGCAGTCTGGCAGTCTGGCAGCAGTTGCAGTTGCAGTTGCAGTTTGGAGTTGCAGTTGGAGTCTTGGACACGGACATGGACATGGGCACGGACACGGGCACACACCCTAGTTGGACATGCGGCGCACTCGTGCGTCATATTCAAATGTGGAGCTGATGTCGGGAGTCTGGCCCAAGAGTCTGTAGATTGCGTTCGCCAGATAATGCAGCGCCACTGTTTCTGCTGGCCGTCTCTAGGCATTCTTTTAAAGGCCGTTCGCTGGCTAACGGATTCAACCAGGAACCCAGCGCAGGTCCATAAATGGCTGCAAAGCATACGTAGCCTTAAACAGTCAAATGTGTGGATAATAATTTTTGATTTATTGCCAAAGCGACACAAGCATTGGCCTGGCCTACAATCTCGGCCAGATAGCTCAATCGAGCCACACGCTCTGTTAGCCATTATCAGCCGCAGCTAGCCCGAAAAGCTCGTTGGGGCGTGTGCCAAACATGCTAATGAGCCAACTCTCGGTTGGACGACCAATCGCTGACCAGTTTGACTAATATTCAAATAACACAACAACAACAACAACAATAAGCATCCAATCGATAGCAACAATAGTGCCGACATTAGGCAGAAATATGAGTTTTTTGTTATTGTTTCATTTTTTGTTTTTGGATTTTGTTTTGAGTTTTGCCTTTTGCATCTTTAGCCATGTTTCGTCTTGCATAATCTTTGCGGTAACTTGAACGGACCGCAAACTTTTCCCGGTCGGAATGCACTTTAATTATGAAACGCGCAGCTCGTGCCAAACGGAAATCGATATGTTAATTTACATAAATGTTGAACAAATGTTGAACAAAGACAGAAAACCCAGTGAGTGAAATCTTGTTTTGGTCGTTAGAGAGGGCAGAACACAATATGTTGTGCGTTCAATAACAATGAGAAATGAGCTATAAAATACTGAAATTCTAGACAGCTGGAGTCGATACTGATTTGATTTCCTTTAAGGACAGTCGATTCCTGGAACCTTGCATGCACAGCTCTTCCATTGATTTATAAGCCTATAAAGGAATTTCATTTATCTTCACTTGGCTCTTATTGTTTTTTGGAGGCTGTTGACATGAGGCAAAAAGAAAGTCGCTCGCAATACTTTCTACCACGGTTTTTATCGCAGCTCAGCTATCGCCACAGGCCACTGCAGCGTCATTCATCTTGCAGTCAAGGCTATAAAGCAGATTAAGCTGTAAATAAAGCTGCTGCGGCTGCGACTGCGTCTGCTCTGTCAATCTGTCAGTGTCCTCGCCAGTCGCTTCTCTATGCACTTTTTTAATTGCCCAACAGCAAATCGGAGCTGACATTTATGCGCGCGCTCCATTTCGTAGATTTGTAAGGCTGCCAATTGAATTGGCTGCCAAGCTAATTGCCCAGAATGCGCGACGCCTCTCTAACGGTCTGTCTCTGACATTCAGCATGCAGCATGCAGCTTGCAGCATCCTCTCTCAGCTGTGCATGCAAATTGAGCTGTTGCTGGCCGTTGTACGCACAATTAATGTTTGACAGCTGTTGGCCTGGGACAACACTCAATGGCAATTAGGGTCGTCTCGGTCACTGGTTCTACCAAATTCATTGCGAAATACTCGTCTCTCTCTCTCTCGCTCTCTCTGTGTGTGTGTGTGTGTGACATGTGTGCTTGCTGCTGGACAGCCAACAGGCATGCAAATTGTAATTTATGTGACAAATTTTTATGTACCCAACCCGAGAATTTATTGAGCCTAGCAAGCGAACGCACCGAGACGAGCCCCGCTCGGCTTATCAGGTGCTTTAAGCTTCTTGTTTTTTATGCACGGTGTTAAGCTGAGCTCGCAGCCAAACGAGTGTTGTATAACCAACACACACTCACACACACATACATATATGCTTATAAATACACACATATATAGATAACCGCATGTGTTATTCATTCATTGATTGCTACTCTTAGTTGTTGTTGTTGTTGCTGCTGTTGCTGTTGTTGTTTCACCCATTGAGTATTTCATGACGGAAGAAACGCACACACGTCAAAGTGTTGAGTCTTTGGCGATGTCCGCATAGCATAATCCAAGTCACATTCAAAAGCCATTTATCATGTGTGTGAGACTTAAGCCCAATCATGGCAAAGGTCTTTGGACCACCAATTTGTCAATGGTGCACTCTAATACGCGTAAGCCTACTACGAATATAATTTGGAGATAATTCCGACTCGGAACCCATCTATTAATATCAGTTGGTTGCGGCTTGTGTGAGATGCGCAAGGAAACTTGTTTTATTATAGATTTTTTTAGATTTATTTTTGGCACAGTGGTGCACCACATCATCGAAATAGAAATCAAATATAAAATGAAAACAAAATCAAAAATAAAAGGTTCGGAGAAAAAAATAGCCACACGCATTAGACTAATTAAAATATACGAGCTTGAAGCACGTTTAAATTCGATTTGCATTTAAAATCCATTCAAAATATTGCTCGCTGGCTATCAGAGAGAAGAAAACAAAAACACCCCCACGCAGGTCAACCAGTTTGGCGACCAGTCTCATCCATCATTTTGATAGCATAAACTGTGTAGCCGGAATCCGAATCAGATTTGCATCTGCTCTGCCTTTAATTGATGTGAAATGAATTGGACTAAGAGCCAATGCTAAAAGAGTTTGACTTACATTTTATAGCTGTTCGGTTCTGTGTTGTTGCTGAGGCAGCTTTGACATATTGCTTCGGATGCCAACTGAAACGAGATACAGAAGGAGAGGAAACATTTAGACAAGAATAAAACACATCATCTTAGGCAAAGCAAGCACAACAAAAGTAAATATATAATTAAAACGATTAAGAACAGCTCAGCAAAGGGTACAAAAAGTATATATATATATATATATATATATATATATATATATATAAATATACATAGCAAAAAGAAAAAATCTAACAAAAGGTCAAAACATATATAAAATGAAACCGGTTTGTCAATTTGCCAAAAAAAAAAAACTGAAACTGAAAATTAAATCTTTCTTGACGTCATTGGTGATGTTCAAATATTTCAAGCAATAAAATTCAATTCATTTGCCCACACGCATTTCCTACCAGCGTCAGCAAAAGGCCTACGACGAGCTGACCCAGTTTCTTGAAACAAATTGTCGGGAAATATTCCAAACAAAACAAAAGATAATAATAATACGAATAATAAATAAAAAATAATGTAAAGGAAATAAAAGAAATTTACTGCAGAATTGTTTTCGCCTTGTGCCGGTGTAATTTATTGCATGTTTTGCTCATTAAATTGATTTTTCTTTTGATTTTGAGTGCGAGTGTCATTGCAGAGCGATCGGAAGCGGCAGTGGAGTCTGCAGTGAAACTTACAAACAGGGAGCCCAGAAGCACGAATGGGTCTCAATGTTGTTGATTTTGTTTTCGGCACGCTCGGGTTTCATAAAAAATGCCAATTAAGCGTGAATATAAGTGCCAGATAATTTTTCAGACAGCAGCCAATGTAACCCAAATTGCCAAAATACAACAACAACGACAACTACAACCAAAAAGGCACCCAAAAAAATAAGAGTTACAGCACAAGAGCAGCCACAACTGCAAAACGCAAAACAAAAAGAAAATGAAGAAGCAGAAGGAAAGAAACAACATTTTTGCGGAACATGCTCTTAGCCCAAAAAAGAAATTTTCCATTCCTGACATTATATGGAACACAATGTAAGTGAAACACAAGAGTTGAGGCAATAGGCTTCAATTGTTTTCAAAGTTTTCTATTCATTATCGCACAGATGGACCACCCTGAGATGCACTTGAGCCTCAGTTGGGGTATCTTCAAAGCGGCTGTCATCTATTAATAAGCCTTGCTTATCACTCAGCTGAGCTTGGCGTACGTTCAGGGCATTCGGTATTCGTTTTAACTTTGGCGCACACGGAGAGACACAATAAGGCAGCTTTAAAAAATATTTACAACACTCAAGTACAGTTCAAGTGCTGGGCCAAGTCAGCGATATACCCGCCAATGTCCAAGTCCAGCTCCGACTTCAACTCCGTCTTGCAGGCCGTAAGGCAGGCCGTCAGGCAAAAGCGAGGGCCCCGAAAAAAACACACAACAAGAAATAAAAAAAAAAAAAAAAATGCCACTAAACATAAAGAAGAACGACACAGAGTGTTTCTTTTTTATTTGAGTTTTTGTTTTGGGCATTTTTCATTTAAAAGCGACAGGCAAACTGATGTCGATGTCCACTTCCATTGCCAGCCGCGTTGGAGTCTCGGATGACCGAGATATGCGGTATGTGAATCGTTTTTGGCTGCTTGGGACTCGTCTCGTCTCGATTTCAATTTCAGTTTCAATTTCAATGTGCACTTGGACTAGCCAAGTTAATAAGGCAATAAAAACCAAGACAATGAAGCGCAACTCCAAACAATGACAATCATAATGCATATAAATACTAAATGTATTTAAAATGCTGAAATGTCAACAGGTCGCGGGCATCTTTGAAATTATTGGGGAGCTGCTCGCTGCTCGCTGCCGCTGCCGCTGCCGTTGCTGCTGCTGGCTGGTTCGTTTAGCGATGCGGCTTTGATTTTGATAAATGTTTAATTAATTTTGTGCCTCGGTCAAATATTAAACTTGGCCATTTTCGGACTTAATGAACGAAAAATTAACAACACACTGAGAAATCAACTGGTAAGCAGTGCCAGCCATGCCAGCCACGCGGAAGATCTTCAAAGTGAGTTTTCGAACATTTTGGTTGCTTAGTTTCTCGTCGTCGTGCACATTATGCTGGCCTGTGTGGTTTAATATTATGAATGAATGTTTACATATGTGAAAAATGTTGTAATTAGTTTTTCGTTTTTTTTTCCTCTGCTTCTCTCTGCTGCTTTGGGTACTTTGGCTCTGGCGCCCTCTCAGTGATTTTCAACAACGGCGCTTTGAAACAACTGCAAATTACAAGTTATTATTAATGTTAACAAGCGAAATCGCCGTGTACTTATGTGAAAACTCATTTGGCAGGGGGTCTCCATGATTTATCTACATACATATTGTATATATATACAAATCTATATTTAAATACATACACACATGCGATCATACATATACATTGTACATTAATGTCTATTCTTGATTTATGTGAGCATGGCTCTCTGTTATATAAAGCACATCGAGTAGAGTCGCTGAGTGCAAGTGGGTCAACTGTCCCCAGGGTCGGGCATTGACGAGCGCTGCCAACTTAACGCGCACATAACACAATCTTCATGCTTCAGTAGCTGCCAGCAGTACATAGAATTCAAATCAAAATGTTCCACAGTAATTATGCAAAGATTTTCAGAGAGCCCCCATTGCACAAGCCCAGACACGGCTTAGGCTTACTTCGTTTAGTCTTTCGGCAATGGCTTAACGGCTCAGGCACATCCAAAATGCACCACCAGCAACACCACCAGCACCAGCACCACCACCAGCACCACCACGAACAGCAACGACAACGACACGAGCTCGTAAAATATGCAAAATGTGTGCCAGGCCGTGCAGTCAGCAGTCCGCTAACGACTTGTGTCAATAAAAATCAAGCAAAGCACTGAAATGCATTGCTTTCATGGATGTACTCGTAAGTATGTACATATTCTTCACTCTAGAGCTGCCTCCGTTGCACTTGTTCTACTCATCGCGCTTGCTGCTGCTCATATTGTTGTTGCTGTAGTTGGAGTTGGAGTTGGTGTTGGTGTTGGTGTTGATGTTGCTGCAGCTGGCAGGAAAAATCGAAGAATGTCTAGACAGCAGACAGCCAAAGTCACTTCACATTGCACATTGCTTCCTGACTGGCTGCAGCGGACGAACGGTGAATGTGGATGTGGCTGTGGCTGTGGCTGTTGCAGTGGTTGTTGTTAGTGCAACAAGACTTGGCGGATTTCCAATAGCATCAGGCAGTTTCCTATAAACAGGTTGCTTTCCTCTGCGTTGCCAAAAAGTGAGATCGCTTCATAAGTATAAAAAGCTGAAATGCTTCACTCATTGTTAAACGAAAGACTTAGGCAACGAACTTGACAGCAAAATTTTTTTAATGCTAATTAATTACTTCATTATCCAGCTGGAACAAGGGAGTCATATTGACATATAGATTTAAGATGAATTCCTGAATTCAAAATAATCTCTATAGATCATCGATAAGAAAAGCAGCCTGCGGCGTAGATAATGTATTCAAGTGATGCACTTGAAAGCTTCTCGAAGTATATAAATAAATGAAACAATGAAACCAAAAGCAGCTGTGGCAAAAGTTCTGAGACTGAGAACAACAGCGCTGAGAGCAACAAATGATTTATGACACATGACGCTGCTCTGTACGGGCTATAGCTACTCTAACAGCAACAACAACAACAACAAGAGCTACGACGACGACGACTGAAGTGTAACTTCCCACTGACCCAATTTACAAGCACTTAATGCCAAAAAGGAGAAGTTGTAGAAGAAATAAAACAACAAAGAGACGAAAGCTGGTAATGCATATCAAATAAAATTGTAGCAGCAACAACAAAGGCAGCAATGGAGCAGCAACAATGCGTGCCAACAAGACGACAAAAATTATGACCAAAATAGACAAATAAAAAACGAAATTAAAAAAAAAGCCAGAAAAAAAAAAACTACAGAAAAATTTAAATTAAAAGCCAAAAACTCCCACACATAAAAGTCGAGAAAGAGACTTGAAAAAAAGGTCTGTCAAAATTAAATCATTTCGGTGGCACACAACTTTAACCGATGGTTAAAAGTTGATAATGATGATGCTTGGATAACGCTCGTTATTATTTCGCTTGTTGTTGTTGTTGTTGCTGCTGTTGTTGTTATTATTATTATTGTTATTGCTGTCATGTAGTAGTTATTGTTGCTGTTGCTGCTGCTGTTACTGTCCAGTGCGTTGGTGGCTGGTACTGGCAGCGTAACAAATGCTGTTTTGACTAAGTGTTTGACATGAGGAGCGTGGAAAAAAATACGACACACAGGTCACACACATATATGTACATACATATGTGTGTTTAGAAACATGCGAAAGTGAGAAAATCTTAGTGCAAATTGAGCTGCGTGCATTGTATATAAATATTAAAATTTCTTTGGCCATTGTTGCTGTTGTTGCTACCGATAAACTGAAGCATTCAGGCAAGCGTCGGACGGCAAAGCAACTATTTGAGTCCATTCCACTTGACGGTCGCGCTTCCGGTTTCATTTGAGTGAAATTTTGCGCCTGTGGCAAATTTATGTGAGAAATCAACAACATGGTAACACCAACACCAACACCAACATGAACATCAACATCAAATAACCCAGCAACATTTTTCATAGAAAATTATGAACGAAACCGAACAAACATGGAAATTTGCATATGACGCCGCGGGCAGCTAAGCACATATTAATTTTCAGCTGTTGAATGGAAATGCACGGGGCAGCCGTCATTTATTAATTATTAATAAATATTATTATAAATAACCAAATTAATCAGTTTGATTCCAGATAACCCAACGAATCAACAGCTTTTATTTGCAGTCTTAAGTGTGACTCTTATTTGTTTTCATTCGAGAATCGTCCTACTTTGTGCATAGATTAACTGCTAATCGTTATGTCAAGCTTAGAATTGGATTCATGAAAGTTGTCCGCAAAGCGATTAACAGAACAAGCCAAAAAAAATATATAGATGTTTTTATATAATTTTTTGATTTATTTTATTATTATTATTTCTTTATTTTATATATAAAATC